GTATGCCTTACAGCATTGGGTCCCAACCGCCGGTCCGTGGACCGGTGCCGGTCCGCGAGAAATTTCGGTGTTTTGTTGTTTTTATGCCGTCTAAATCGCTGTACCGAAGACGAGGTTGCGTTGGTTTATTACGCAATTTCTCTTTCGCCGTCATATTGTGACAACTTGGCGCCCAGTAATCATATCTTTCGCTTTTTCGGCTCCGCTCTTATCTCTTTACCGAAGACGAGGTTGCGTTGGTTTATTACGCAATTTCTCTACCGCCGTCATATTGCCACGTCTTCCGCGACATCTTGGCGCCGCGTAATCACACTTCTTGCTTTTTCGGCTCCGATTCTTCGTGAATGCGCTCCATCAAATTATCCTAAAATGCAGAAACCTAAAAATTGGCACGCGTCCTTTTTCTGTTCTTCATGCTTTTCCTGAATAATATGACCATCCAAATAAAACGTTATGCATATTTCTTTGTTCAAACCCGAAAACAGTCGAGAAAAGTATAATACTCCAGTAAAATATGGCAGGTCGTCACGAGGCGCGCAAAAAAGCATGGGCCGCTGAGATGTTTTCCAGTATCTTGAGCAGACAAAGTAGGATTTTGAGCCTGGTGCCAAGTTAGCGACGACTTTGTCATTGTAATGTAAATTCATTTCGTTTGAAGCATCGATCAACTGCAGTGGGATTAATGTGATAAACCAGATGAAAAAGAAAAGGCTTGATTCAAATTGTGATTCTACTTTACAGTCCAGGAGTTACTTATATTTTTATTACTTATATATAAAAATATTTTCATCACTAGCTTTAATTAAAGCGAAGCAAGGAAATTGGCTGCACGCCGATGCAGAGCTAGGTGTTGCAGAAATTTCCTTGAGGCATCGTTTGCAATCCTATATTGGAAACTAAACAGCAGCAAAATTCTCACTAGAGTTGATTGCGTTTGTACATGATTTGGCATGTACATGTTGTTTATGTGAGATGTTTTATGTGTGCCTTTCTTACGCATAATGGGTGCCCAGCACTGCATTTCATTACACAAATATGTATGTTTCACCCATTTTAATGTTTGGCCGCCACATTTGATAGTTTTTCTTCGTGTGAGCTGTTTTTAAGTGCCTTTTTTGTCTAGATGCATATTGAGTGCCCGACATTGTATTGTATTACGCAAATATATGTTATTCTTTTCTGTTCCACTCATTTCAATTTTTGCCGGTCCGCGAGTACATTTAATTTAATTTTACCGGTCCGCCCGGGTAGAAAGGTTGGGAACCACTGCCTTACAGCAAGGGTGTGCAACCTTTAATACAGAAGGGCCAGATACAAATTACTGAGTGAAACCGATGGCCGCACCTTTATTCCACATAGGCTTTCTAGTAGTCGCAGGCACAAAAATTTGGTTATTGATCTTATGACATGCGTTTGCTCCACACAAGCTAGCTGTTATGGCATTGTAACATCATATACTAGACCAGGGCTTCTCAACTGGCGGACCGCGGGGTCCGAATCCGGACCTTTCGAGTATTTGATTCGGACCGCACATCAATCTTTTGGATCATTAGCCTCACTTTAAGTTTCCTTTTATAAAAATGACTTTTATAGCTTTGAATATATATGAAAAGAACTATAACGCCACAATAAACAATCTTAATTAGCTAATAATCATTAGCCGGTCGAGGAAGTGTGCGTTTAAGGGTTGCCGAAATATAATTTCTGGAAACACCGGACGCAAATAATTTCGAAGTTTTGTATGCGGACCTTCGGTAAAAATAGTTGAGTAGCCCTGTACTATACTTTGCAACGCGAAGAGATTGGAATCACTCGCACGTACCAGATTAAACTAAATTAAAAACTCGTTTCGCGGGCCGCACATCATTCGAAATCGGCACTTTTCCACGGGCTGCACAATTTTTCTGGGGACAATCTTTATGGATCGCATTTGGCCCGCGGGCCGCAGGTTGAACATTCCTGCCTTACAGCGAGGCCTCGAAGCAACTAGAAACATATTTGATCAAATTTGTTAATTTCGACTTTATTGGTCAAATTTACATTGCACATAAGTCAATTATATGGCTCGTCTCTCGTGATGTTGCTTATCCCCTGATAAGCAAACGTCTCAGGGTTACACAACTGTAGTCTGTCAGTAACTCGATTTCGTGCTTTAAAAAATTGCTCTGAAACATTCCCCGCAACATAGGCAGTTCAAAAGTAAAACAGCTATTCTAATGTTTTAATCTACAAGGTTCCAAAGCAATTAGGAATCAAGGTCATATTGAATTTAGGGTACTCCCGCAGTATGCGTACCATGTTAGGTTAAGGCCAAAATTGTATTCCGATTTCCACGAGTTCGGGGACTGTCTGTGTTAGCCAAGTGAATATATCCCCAACCCAAAGGTTTCAGTCCTTTTATACAACTTGATGTAAAGTAGACGAACAACATTAGTCACCTCCATGTTGGTACACACACTTCTGGAGCGTCAAATATTGTATCAAGCATTTAAAACAATTATTTTGAAGGTAAAAATGGACTGCTAGAAATGCTACCGCCTCTGCTACGTGTACTACTTGCACCACTGCTGCGTGTGCTACTTGTATCACCAAAAACACCATCTATTAAACGATCAAAACTTGTATATTTGCCCTTGCAGCATTTTGTGTTGATATCCGCGACTTTTCGTTCCAATGAATCCATTTCTAGAGAAGAAAAAAATATATTAATAAGAAATACAATGCTCATATATATATGGATCTCAGGTCAAAGGAGTAAATTCTGTGCAACTCTGTATTGCAGCTCTTCACAAGGATCTGTTGGAAGCGTCGTATGAGCATGATAATTCGCTATCATGTTCCAAATTGAAATTGAAAATCGAATAACAGCACAAACGAGAATGCGATCGGAGACCGCCGACTTATCGATCTTCCACAAACAAACAAAAAATTGATTAATTAATTAATAAGTTGCTAATTATACGACATAATTCATCAAATAGGCTTCTGTTCCGAGATATGATGAATGCACATGCAAAATTTGGAGCAGATTCAAAGCACTTCGCTTTCGTGAGATATCACGTAACATACGAGAGTGTCTAACAGACAGACAAACTTACAAATAAGCAAACAAACAAAGAAAAAAGACAAATACCTATCAACGTACTTACCGATTAAGATCGATTAGTAAAAGAAAGAAAATATGTCGAACAGATGGAACACTTTGTATACCAACTTTTGGGGTGAAGTTTTGAGCCTCATATGAGACAGCCAGAAAAGTTTGAAGAAAAAAACTGAAGTATTAGTTTTCTGGCGACTTCTTTCATTTTAAAGTAGTAAAAATTTGGACGCAAATAGAAGTATGTGTACCAGTATGGAGGTAACTAATTTTGTTCGCCTACTTTACATCAAGTTGTAAACGAACGGAAGCCTATGGGCATGGTGTATATTCACTTGGCTAACCCAGACAATCACCGAACTCGTGATAGAAGTAACTAAAATGAGGAAGATCAGAATAAATTATGGCCTAACTCTAACCTGGTACACGTACTACGAGAGTACCTAAATTTGAAATAGATTTGTCCACTAGTTGCGGAGGAAAGCAATTTTTTAGTCAAAACCTTATCTACCATTTTGCAAAATAGTCTACAGGTTGTGAGCGATAAATACGTTATTTATACCAGCGGTTCCCAACCTTTCTACCTTGGCGGACCGGTAAAATTAGATTAAATGTAGTCCCGGACTGACGAAAACTTGAAATAGCCGGAACAGAGAAAAATAACACATATTTGTGTAATATAATGCAATGTCGGGCACTCAATATGCTTCTAAACAAAAAAGCATGCTTAAAAACACTTCACAGGGAGAAAAACTATCAAATAATGTGCCGACCAAAAATTAAAAATGGGTGAAACATAGAATAATACCATACATTACCCATTATGCGTAAGAAAGGCACGCATAAAATATCTCACATTAAAAACATGCACAATTAACTCCTGTGAAAATTTTGCTGCTGTTTCGTTTCCAATATAATATTGCAAACGAGGCCTCAAAAAAGTTTTTGCAACACGTCGCTCTGCAGCCGCGTGCAGCCGATTTCTTTGCTTCGTTTCAATTGAATCTAGTGATGAAAATGTTTTTTCGCATAACGCATTAACTGACTGAAAAGACGGACAACAGTTTGATTGCTCGATTACTTGGCGATAGGTATTTGTTATCATGAGATATCTAAAATTTTGATAAGTAATTCTTTTTTATTCTGAACTGTAAAGTAGAATCACCCTTTTAATCAAGACTTTTCTTTTTCATTGGGTTCATTATATTAGTCCCTCTGCAGTTGATCGACGCCTCAAACGAAATGAATTTGCATTACAATGACAAAGTCGTCGATAACTTGGCAACAGGCTCAAAATCCCACTGTGTCTGGAAAATATCTCTGCGGCCCATGCTTTTTTGCGCGTCTCGTGACCACCTGTGGGGTCGCAACAAGTTCATATCTTACTGAAATATTATACTGTTCTTCACTGTTTTCTGGTTTAAACAAGAATATATGCATTACGTTTTATATGGATGGTCATATTAATCAGGAAAAGCACGCAGAACAGAAAAAGCACGCGTGCCGATTTTTAGGCTTCTTAATTTTGCGAGATTTGATGGAGCGCATTCGCGATGAATCGGAGCCGAAAAAGAGAAAAGTGTGAATGATCGGCGCCAACATGTCGCGAAAGACGTCGCAATATGACGGCGAAAGAGAATTGCGTAATGATCCAACGCAACTTTGTCTACGGTAAAGCGATTGAGACGGCATAAAAACAACAAAACAACAAAATTTCTCGCGGACCGACAAAAATACTTCCGGCGGTTCGGAACCACTGATTTATACCATCATGAAACAAGAAAATATATTTTATAGTGTTGTTAATTTGATTAGTGCAAGAAATCACAACACAAATTCAAAATAGGAAAAAGTAATTACGTGTTACAGTAACGGAATTCATTGCAATTGACTGGAGGTCGCGAAGGACCAGAGATGGTCATCATAAGTCTGCGACACCATATATAAGATACTTTAAATAAAAAAAAGAATCACCTTTTATTTTATCCGCATTCTCATCAACTTTGCTTTCAATTGTATTCAAGTCTGAATTTATACTTCGGATATCTGAAATAAAAGGTAAATAATGTTATTTATTATTGAAATTATATAGTGTCTGTAAGGTGCAATTGGTAAAATATATCTGCCAAAATTAATTTGGTAATATATTTTAGTTCGAGCGCCAGTGCTCACTGCATGGCGATTCGTCAACAGTGAGTTTTTCACTTCAATTTAGGAAATTGCATATTTGTCAAGCGTTGTATAATAGCAATAGCAGACCTAATAATACCTTCTCCAGATTGTGAAATTTCGGAACGTACATTCTTGCATACAGAACATGGAAACACGAAGCACATACTTATCAAAGAATTGTTTTGTAATTGTTCATTTAAAGTTTCGCATTCTAAAACTAGGCCATCGCCGAACAAAGAAGAATGTCAATAATGATGATTGTTAGACAAACAAAAGACTTTATACCAGTGGTTCTCAAACTTTTTTAGTCCCAGAGCCGCATTTCAAACCTCAAAGTTATGAAGAGCCGCACACAAACAACGCAAGGTAAAATAGCAACAAACCTTAAGCGCGTAATTAAAATACTAAGTCATCGTAACAACAACACACGTAACAACTAGGGCTGGATAAAATTTTCAAATATTAAAATATTCGAATGGCATTTTACGATTCGAATATCCGGTACCACGTGACCTGCGCCGCTTTGCCCGGACACCGAACTCGCGCCAATCGTGAATTGTGCGAGATTTCCCAACGGCGTTCGCTATCAGAAAAAAAAGACAAATTTGAAAAGTCGTTGTCTTTGCGGTATGGTGTTATATACTTATCTTTGCACTTAACGTATCGTTTCAATTCCATATTTCGCAAAAAAACGTACCGACCGTTCCGTAAATTTAGAAACGTCAAACCAGAATAGTAATTTAAAATAAATTTCCCAGATTTTAAACTCCGCATGCTTGGGGACATGTCATTAGCCATTTCTAGCATTAACGAACATAAAGTTGCTTAAAATTAAATGTTAAAATGACTTTTCGGTATTTCATTGTGAAAAAGGCGATTTTAGGTCGTTAGAAAACTCTAGTTATATAAATAGCATGGATTTATGAAAATGACCAAAAGTTTTTCCAAAGCTGGTATGAGTTATTTGAATGAAAAACACTCATTAGGTTGTAACCAGATAAGAAATGTCATGTCCTACTCCCTAAACACTTTGTATTAGCTCTTTAGTGATTCTTTCCATCCTTGGCCAAGTAGTGTTTCGAATATGTAAACATTTTACTCGAATATGCATGGCCGTTGAGCCAAGAGTAGTACGTAAAATCAATCGTGAATTTTGTTGTAACAATGCACACATATTCGTTCACGAATTGTTGCGTCTATTATCGTCGAAAATGATTACAATTGGTAAATTTTGAAAGCATTTAGGCATAATAATTAAGCCTTACGACGTGACATATTCAAAATCATTAAGTGAAGTGCTGAATTTGCAAATTTCGTAAAGAAAATTGAGCATTACTCAGTAAGTATTTTAGCTATAATAACCATCGGGGTGTTGTTTTGTTGAACAAAAAAACGTTAAAACTTGAAGGAATTAGTTATAATCAGCGTCTGACCCTTTATTAGGCACAAAGGCCTAGAAATGCATATTTGACAATTTATTTAATCGCCATTTTAAATCAACATTCAGGATTCACGCAATCGTAAATTTTTTAGGTTTATCTATCTAATACTAAAATACCCTGAACACCAGAGAAAAGCATGAGAAACTCACTTACTGGTCTCGGTTATTACAGTTCACTTCAAACAGGCACAGTTAATTTACAAGAGGTGATAAGGAAGATCAATTCCACGGCAGAGGATAAAACTAAAATTAATTTGGTTTTGAAATCAGCCCTTAATGTATTCAACAGCTGTCGCTGATGTGAACGCAAGGGTGTACTAGAAATATAAAACTTCCATATCCGGCGACCCCTAATTCTTGCAAAAAAGGTCGGGAATATAGAATAGCAACTTTAGGATATCGCCAACGAAACGATCGCGGTGACAAATACAATCAGCGATTATGATGAAATAAACCATTAACCAGCAAAAAAAAATCTTTAATGTCGACTTTTCAATGTTTCTATTAATATCCAAATGGAGTATCGACCTCCGACTTTTTGGATCCCTGTTATGTATAAAATATATTCATTATTCGACTATTCGGTATTTGTTAACAATATTCAAATTATTCGATTCGAAAAAAAATTCAATACTGCCCACCCTAGACTAACAGCCATTTAATTTGGCTTTGATTTCCAATAAGTTTGTCAGAGCGGGTTGTAATCGTGGAGGATGCAAGGTGCAGTAGCTGCTTGAGATGATCGCCAGATATTTCGGGACTATTTTCGATTGCTGGAACAAAATTAAAATGTTCTAAAAATTAAAATTATCATTGAGTTATTTGATTTATACATAATATTTGGAAATGCGACAAAAACTGAAAATTCATGAAAGCAAGCCAATTATTACAGCCACGTCTAAAATCTATGCAAGTGAAAAGTGTCCGAGTGGCCGCGAAAACGCTTACTGTTGCGTCACTATTGCATCTTGTAGATTAGTCAACGATACGCTAATAAAAACGGGGGAATCCATTCGACTTACAAATAGACTTCCGCATTTTAATTTCATGTCAATGATTATTTTTCAATAAAAAATTTTCTTTGAAAGTAATTAATTTTTGGAGCATCAATAAGAGCCGCAGGAAAGGTTGTTGAGAGCCGCATGCGGCTCTCAAACCCTATTTGAGAATCACTGCTTTAGACTGTTAGAGGTTCCCCAATTAACCTTACCTTGTATGTTGCCAGTAATGAGTGAAAGTAGGTTTCCATTATTTTGTGATTGTGCTGCTATTGGAGTTTTGCAAGTTATTGGGAATTCATTTCTTCTTAAATGCTTTTCGATGCTGAAACCAAACTGATCCCATATCGGGGGTGTAGGATCACATTGCACAATTTGGCAACCTGGCTTAGGAGAACATTGAAGCACTGTTTCATCTTGGCAGAGGGATGGAGAGATAAAGATAAGAAGATTAAAGATAAGATAAATTTTCATTTTAACTTTTGACATTTCAAATAAATCTTTTAGCCTCTTGAGTAAAGCAATTGTCCAATCTAATTATAAGCTAATCTGCAAATAATAATAAAAAGTTTGAATGAAATATCCATTTATGTATCGCAACAATACTCTGTGAAAGTCGCGGGAAATACGGTTTAGGTTTATCATAGCGTTGCTACTGTGGAATGATAGAGATAATCACATTAATACTAGGAGAATATTATCTTCAACTTTGAAATAAACACTTGCAGTCTAATTAGATCTTTACTCAATGCATTAATAATTGAATATGTTTTCATCTTGAACTTTGGTATGAGGCAGCGTAAGTTCATCGAAAGCTATTCTGCACATCTACAATCTGCAAAGTTCGAAAATCATTTTATGTGTTCCATCAAGATTTTGGTATCATGCTTTGAGAAAACTTGAATTAAAATGCAGCGTCAATCAACTGTAAATTCTATTACTTCCGAGTATTTCCAACTATAAAATTGTTTACAATCTTCATTTACATCTTTAGCTATTCTCATTGAACGACAAGTCTCTTGTGACCAATTATTTACTTGCCACTGTTATGCAACCGTAGGCTTTTTAGTGGGTAGTCGTGGATTTATTTTGCGGTGACATTTTTCGCATTTACTTAGTTCACAAGATTGAAATTGACACGACTCAAACAAGACATATCATCAAGGCTTTGATTTTTAAAATTCGTCAATCGGCGTTGTTGTCACGTGACTTTGTTTTTTTTCTACCACAAAGTGCCATCATTCTCACATCTAACTAATATTTTCCTGATTTTCTATGTACCGTTGATTTACCTGCACTAATGAGCCCGCATAAAACTACAGCGACATTAGTGTTTACTATAGCAATTCTACCGTCAGTAATCTATACTCTATAGCAGGGCTACTCAACTGGCGGACCGCGGTCCAAATCCGGACCTTTCGAGTATTGGACATGGACCGCACCTAATTATTTATTCTGGATCATTAGCCCCACTTTTTGAATTTCCTATTATAAAATGACTTTCTTAGTTTTGAACATATACGAAAATAATTATAACACCATAATAAACAATTTTAATTTGCTACTAATCATTAGTCGGTCGAGGAAGTGCTCGTTTAAGGATGCCGAAATATCATTTCTGGAAAGACCGGACCCAAATAATTTTGAAGTTTTGCTTGCGGACCTTCGATAAAAATAGTTGAGTAGCCCTGCTCTATAGGGTGTCCATGGAGTCTCAAAAAATTTTAATATTGCAAAAGGAAATTATCGATACCATATATTGTTTTGGCCCTCACAGATGTATTAAATAAAGTGAGAATACTTAAACAATAACTGATTAAAAAACAACAAACCTGGTTAAGATATATTGAGAACTGACTTATAACAAAATTGAAATTGTAAAGAGACTTTGTATACATTCTGCTATTTTCTTTCTGATGAGAATTTTAAGTGGTTTCGCTCTGAGCAAAGTTATACAAACAAGGTTATTCTTGATAGATTTTAAATCTTATCTACCTTTACGTCAGTTGTCCTAATATTGCTTTGAGAAAATTCGAATTTAATGCAACGTTTTCCTAATGCAAGTTCCTTTCTTTCTAATTATTTGCAACTACGAAATTCTTTACTATTCTCCCCTGTACACCATGTTTACCTTGACGGACTAACATCTAACTAATACTTTCATATCTAAATGTCATACTTCAAACCAAATGAATATTATACGCTCGAGGCAGTGTTGATTAATGTGAACTTACAAATATTTGTCGCAATTAGGTAAACCGAACTGATGTGGTTTTCATGCATGACGAACCCGGTGGCGCGATGGAATAGTTGGTTTGCCAGCTCGTTTGCCAAAACAATGTGGGCGTCACAGACTTTGGTTCCAAATATTTTCTGGATGAAGTAGACTAGGTAAGCTGTATGCTGATCCGAATAAATCAAACACGGTTCTCGATAATGTGTATATACGTCTGCTAATCTGGCAACTGAATCTGATGACCCCCAAAGGTCGTATCGTTGCCTCCCAGTCATATACCGAAAACATCTGTTTATTTGATATTTGCATATGTATGCATATATTGTTTTCTTGGTTTGACAAAATGAAATAAACTCTCTCTCTCTCTCTCTCTCTCTCTCTCTCTCTCTCACCTTGTTTCAATCGAGTGCTTCAGATAATAAAAACATTACATCCTTATATATCAGTCACTGCCGTATTGAAGCCTTCTTCGCAGCGACAGTGCTAGGTGAACTCCGCCTTTCTACTTCTTTTACCATACGAGACTAGACATGGAAAAAATATTATTGAGTTACTCCTTTGTGGCATCAACATTAAATTGTTGCAAGAGCATGATTATTTTTGTAAAATATGAACATAAATATTTACAAAATTATTTCAAACTTCAAAAATCTCTAGTCGACTACACTTTTTAAACTGCAAGTGAACTTAGGTAAATTTGTCGAAAACATCGCTATACGCACAAACAAACGAGTTGACCTAAAAAATAACGCTACTGTGAAACTGTTTTTATCCACACTTGTTACTTATCGATCTCGATCGGTAAGTATGTCGAGGTATTGTGGGTCTGGTTGTTTGTTCGTTTGACTGTTAGACACTTTAGTATGTTACGCGATATCTCACAAGAGCGAAGTTGATTCTGCTCCACATTGCATTTGCATTCGTCATATCTCGAACCAGAAGCCTATTGATTTTGGATGAATGATGTCGTATAATTAGCGAGTTATTAATTAATTAGTGATGGGACACGCGGTGTCACTAATGAGTCAGAGCGATGAAATCGAACCACAGTTTATGTTTTGGGGGTTCCCCTAACTTTCGTCGCTGCGAACGATCATTAAGTCCGCGGTCTGCGATCGCTATCTAGTTTTTCTATTTTTTGTTTGTATTAAGTGTAATAATTGCTTAAATTAGTTCCTCAGGCCCTGATAAGAACACGCAGTTGTCTTGTGGCGCGTTTTAACTGGAATCAGAAGACCTACGTTGCGTTTTTTGTTGAGTTGATTTATGCAATTTTTTAGATACTCCCGTAGTATGTGTAATAGGTGAATTAAAATTGAATGACCATTCAGAGCTTTATTTTGAGCAAACACTAAAACTGTATGGTGGCCATTTGGTGTTGGCAGGATTTAGGAAGTTATTTCCTCCTAGATTTGAACCTCAAATTTAACTCGTATTGCATGTCTTGAGTATATTATTATATCGTAAAACAAAAAAATGAATAATAACTCCAAAAAAAAAAATGATAACAATCTCTACTTATAACGTCTGTGTTATCTCTACTATAACTGGTTCTCATTTATCCACCTAATAAACTTATTTGCTCTTCTCTCGTGAACTTCCACTTTGTTTTACTGCCAATATTGACTTGAGTTATATCAAGTCTCGTGCCAACCGCTAAATGTGCTCGCGATGGTTCCCAAAAGGGGGCTACTTGTTAGGAGGATCACACGCCATTAGTCTGTAGTTTGTCAGATTCGATGTATTTGACCATGGCTTTCTTGTTTTCAAAAAATACTCAGAAAAATTTCCCGCCTCATATGCAGTTCAAATGTAGCACAGCTATTTCAACAAAAGGGTTTTACGGAATTTATGGTCACGAATTTTGATAACACTGGCCAACAATTTTTTACTTTTCGAATGTTGTTTAGATTTTTGCAACTGATTTTGGCACTGCTGAATCCGAAAATTACATCAGTTTTTCCTCATCAGGTCAAGTTTGTGCGTTTCAAAAAATCAGCTCGTTTGACAAAATTGATTACACTTTTGTGTCATTATGACGTCATTTTGTTAGCACACACACTAAAAAAAGAAAACAATTCTTTGTTCAACAATATATTTTGATTACGAGATGGAAACATCGATTAATAAAAACTAATTGGTGGACATTGATAAAGAAGAGTATGGATAATGTAAAAAATGTAGAAAGAATTTAAAAAAAAGTTTTGTATTTCAAATCGGAGTGATAAATACAAGCCAGATGGACTGAGTGGGGTTGGTAACGTGATATACATATACAGCCAAAAATATACATATAGCGCCAACTAAATATACATATAGCGCCAACTAAATATCCATATACAGCCAAGGTCATATTCATATACAGCCAATTATTAATATCCAAATACAGTCATTTGGGTGATGTACAAATACTGCCAAGTCATATGCATGTACAGCCAATTAGATATACATATGATATAATAAGTGTGTTAGGGTTAGGGTTTTAAAAATAACTCTCAGAAACTCCAAAACAACTTTTGTTGCGGTTACTTACGATAAGTATATAATATATGTAATAATATATTGGGATATTAGCATCATTTAGTCTCTAGTAACAAGTAACATGTTATTTGTTCGAAGCGTACAATGTCAGCCTCTCGTGGTACGTTGTTTACAATTTTATCGTACATTTGCCCCTGTATGCAGTGCATCGTGCGCTGCGTGTAACCAATCATTGTAGACCCATTATTACCCTTTTTTCTCTTTGCTTGTAGCGTGAATTAGTAATTTTATCTGTTTTCTGGTTCAGCGTTTTTCTTTCGGTCATTTTCGCATCACGTATTCATTGTGTAAGATCCGCAGATATTTGTCCGTATTGTGGACTGTTTACTTATCTGTTGTATCTGTTATTGTAATTGTATTAGCCACCCGGATCAGAAAACGTTTGGCAAGAAATTTGCCTTTTGTTGTTGATATATGCAAGTTAATCAATTGTGTTTCATTCATTTAAGAAATTCGCTGTTCCTTGCCAAGTGTATAAAGAAAAAGCTGATTTATGCATGTGTATTTTTCGTGGATAAATGGGCTGAGAGTGGCGCGTTCGATACGTTTTCATTGTGTCTCGTCTATTAGATTCTGGGCTATCAAAAGACGTGACACGTGGTGCATGAATACATGAATACATAATGCCGTAAGATAAAGCCCCACAACAACTGATTATGATAACATGCGAAATGTGTCGTCGCTGCCAACGAGGAAATTGAAAATCTCTTTTCAGTGAACTATTCTTTGGTTATTTTGTCAACGAACTAATCAATATAAAATCTGGTGCAAACTATCATTACTCACATTACATGTTGATTATTCGAGAAAGCATCACCAGGTTATGTTTATAGGATGAGACCATACTCGTTGACGCATTGGGAGTATAGTGTGCTTATGCTTACAGAAACTCCATAACGGCTATTTATTGAAATATAAAAAATGACTTGCAACTAGCGTAAAGTAGATATAATAATGATAGGAACATCATTCAGCGGTAAGACTTTACATTTTGCCTGTGCATAATAAGACATAAAGTTGCCGGTGCATGAGGTTAACAAAGAAATTAAATTAAAAAATTATTGTTAAGCTTTCAGTTTGTTAAATAAAAAAATAATTCAACTGGAAATGTCATTTATTGTATGCAAAGACCCGAAAAATATGGAAATGCCATTGACATGAGGATGGACTCGACATCTAATACTCCAGAAAAAGCGAATTATGTTAACTTTTAAACGGGATAGTAGTGGCCCCGTTCGGAGCGAAATGCAACGCAAAATATTCAAGATACAAAGGGCGAAGGTTTTCGCGAGCTGTTTCGAGCGAACGCAATCTTTGTCTGTTTATTTCTGTGTGGGTAATGATTACAAGTTTGTTTACGCGCCAAAAACGATTGTGAACTCGCTCAAATTACTTTCTTTAAGGAATAACAGATTCATTGTATATTTCTTAGCTTTCAAATACTTACAGATATAAAACTCGTAGAATTTAAAATATGCTAAAGAAAAGTGAAGCGCAACCGGGGTCACAAACGCTCGGACAATAATATATCATGCTTGAAAATGACGCAAAAATGTCTTATTGCTTTTGTTTTGACATACGTCCACGATAAGGTGTATACATGAAGAATATTAACTCTTACTGGCCAATCATATTAGAGCCATATTAATATTACACATAAGTGTCATGCGCTAATTTAAGGTTAAAAAGCCTGGAACATGTAAGTGAAGCAGTCACCATAACGTGTCGAGTCGAGAGACTGCTAAAGATAGTAAACGAGAGTAAACTGCTTGATCAAGCCGAGCTTATTGAGCAATGGAGGGGAGAGTATTCAACCAGAAGGCTATTAATGACGCTCCTTTTTTTGCAGTGCATCAGTTACCCCCATCGTCATGTGGCACTCTAAGCTTGAGCAAAAGCTGCACAATATCGGATCGGCACAGTAAACCAAATGCTTTTCTTTCGAGAGAAAATGGAGGTATCCTTTATGCCTTGTTGCAGAAGAAGCTGATGTAAGTACAGTCAGAAAGAAGATATTTTCCTTCAATCTGGAAGCCAACAGTTTGGCAGAATCCTTTGGCATTCTGAGGTCGCAAACTAGATCATTCAACTTCTTTTGGGAAAATTGATGTGGGGCATCATCTTCAAAATCCATTTCTCCTTCTTCATATCCTTTGAAACTGGAGGTATTTTCGACGCTGATGAAGGTCTTCTAAACGAAGCCATCACATTCACTCGCAAAAAATAGGTAAAGATATTCAGCAATTAACTTACACAGAAGATAGATAGAATAAACAACGAACTGGTACCACGGTATAAATGCGTAAAACTAGTAATCAAACGCAAGTGAAATGGCACCGATACAGATTATAGATAGACTAGTCAATGTTAAACACTTCCAGTACCCAAGGCGACATTAGCGCCGCAGTTAGCGCGCATATTTCACAGGTTGGCAGAATGTCATGGTCTAACTCCAGGAGGAGGGACGCCTGCGGAAGCACAACGCCCATTAAAATTGAAATGTACGATTATCAAAAAACTTGACCATGTTTATTGTCATAAAAATATCGAAGAATATTCAAAAACCACTCTCTGTATAAAACTGCCCACGTTTACAAAGAAAGATAACTAGAAAATCACAAAAAAACTGCAAATTTCTGTTCTGGTGATCACATTTCCCATAAGAGCTAATGTTAAAATTGCTTTGTTTACCCCTCTTTTATATTTCATTATTATTGCATTATTGTGTGATTGCGCAGCTTTTTGAGTTTCGCAAGTTGGGAATTCATTTCTTGTTAAATGCTTTTCGATGCTGAAACCAAACTGACTGCCTATCGGGGGTGTAGGATCACATTGTACAATCTGGCAACCAGGTCTAGGAGAACATTGAAGCTCTGTTTCATCTTGGCAGAAGGATGAAGTGATAAGGATAAGGAGATTAATAATGGAATATATTTCCATCTTGAACTTTGGGATAAGGAAGCGAATTTAATTGCAAGCTATTCTACACGTCCACAAACTGTAAAGTTTGTCAAAATAATCATTTTATGTATCCTAATAAGGGGGCTCCCGAAGTATGCGAACCAAGATGGCGGACATCGGAACGTAATATGGGTAACAGGTTAGGGTTAGGCCATAATTTTAGGTATAAATACTACGGGAGGCTCTTGGCTAGTCTTCGAACTGATAATAGGACTAAAATAAGGAAAATTGGAAAGAAATTATCGCCTAACCCTAACCTGTTACCCATATTACGTTCCGATGTCCGCCATCTTGGTTCGCATACTTCGGGAGCACCCTAATAAGACTCTATTACCTGTGAGAAAATTCGAATAAAAACAGGCGTTTGGCGCATCGTGCTAAGCGTTAGGAATACTTTTGCCACCGGATCTGTGATTACCCTGTGTGGGTTCGCAGATTTGAAAACAAATAACTGGTATACTTATCTCATACCCGACATGGACTGGTAACCGTACGAGGGACCGTGGTTCGCCATATGATTAAGCCGTCTTACTGGCTTTCCTGTCCCACGGGTTAATATTTAAATCCTATCTAACTGCAACGTTATTCAACCGTAAGTCCCTTTCTTGCTAATTATTTGTAACTATGAATTTATTTTTTCATTTAAACCGTGTTGACATTGGCGGAGTTACATCTAACTAATGTTTTCCTGATTTTCGAAACAGTGTTGATACACTTGCCCGCTTATAATTTTTGCGACATTGGTGTGCACTATTGCAATTTTACCATCATTGATCTATATGCATAGGGTGTCCATGAAATCTTAAATTTTAAATGACAAAGGTCTTTGACTCTCACAGATGTATTAAATGATGTAAATTGTAAAACAATTACTGATTAAAAATCAACAAACCTAGTTAAGATATATTGAGAACTGACTTCATAACAAGATTGAAATAGTAAACGGACATTATGGACACCCTGCTATTTTTTTTTTAGCTGAGAAGATTAAGTGGTTTTGCTCTGAGCAAAGTTAGATAAACAAAGGTAATTCTGGATAGATTTTAAATCTTGTCTATTTCACGTAGTTTCAACTTTGAGTCTGTTGTCCTAATCTTGCTTTGAGAAAACTCGAATTTAAAACAACGTTTTTCGAAAGCAAATTGTTTTCTTTCCAAATATTTGCAACTACAAAATTCTTCCTCTGTTCTCTGCTATTCTCCCCTGTAAACCTTGTTGACTTCGATAGACTAATATCTAACTAATATTTTCATATCCGAATGTCATACTTCAAACCAAATGAATATTATAGGCTCGAGGCAGTGTTGATCTGTGTTGATCAATGTGAACTTGGAATAACTTGTTGTACAACTACGTAAATCTAACTGTTGTGGTTTTCATGACGAATCCTGTGGCGCGACGGAATAATTGTAGGTTGTTGTTATTGGGCACGAAGGGCACGATCAGGGATGGCCAACACGTCGATCGCGATCGATCGATCGATCGATCGATCGCCACGTCTCGAGGGGTCGATTGCGGCTGATGTTGAGTGAATTCGATTAACATACTTCAAACATTTGCCTTGGACCATTTTCATGCAGCGCATGTTGACCCATTACTTTACCTTAAATTAACTAGATTTGAGAACAATCCCATCACTCAGCAAACTGTCGTATATTTATCATAGCTAGATATTACTCAACGAAAGGACTTATGTTCACAATATGTTCACTGACTTGAAAACTGGGCGCGATGTGCCAAGTATGAAAGTGTTAGAATTTACTTTGTTAGCAGTTTATATACCTCAGATTCGAATCACGTGCTCGCTACTAGGGCTGGGAATTTCGAATCGAATAGTAAATTATTCAAATCGATTCGGAGCAAAACTTTGAATCGCCGCCATTTTGTTTTTTTTCTTTCCGCCAATGGTCAAGGTAAATTTCTTAATTTTTTTTGGTGGAGCCATTTTCAACGCAAGCTATTTGAAGCCATTTCAACGCAATTCTGACATACGACTCTTTATTATAATGAGTTATTGATGAAAACGTGTGCTCAGCAATCTGCCTGATTGATGCGTTCCATGCTTTCTGTAATTTATGTGTCTGGAGGACCTAATACAATAAGAAAGTTACATACAATTGATATCCCCCAAGTATTCAAGATTCGATTCGAAAATTTTTTTGATTAGATTTGGAAATCATCAGGCATTTGAAAATGCTCAGCCCCACTCGCCACTTCACCAAAAGTGGACTAAATTGGATAGTTTATGGCCAACTGCTTACATAACATCGGGTATAAATGGGCGCAATGGGCAACGGTTAAAATGTTAGACTTCACTACGTTGGCATCGCAGTTTACATACTCCAGACTCAAATCACATGCTCGCCACTTCACCAAAAGTGAAATAAATTGGATAGGTAATGGCCAACTGCTTACATATCATCGGATATAACTGGCTATTAGTATAATACTTTCGAAGCGAGAGACATGAGCAAGCTTTATAAAACTTATCACTGCACCGTAAGTATGAAATAAATTGGGGTAATAGCAGATTGCTTACATGTCGTTAGATATCAGTTTGAGGTAATTGTTTATGTCTTATTCAGAGCAAAAGACTTGAGCAAGCGTCGTGCAGAAAATAGCTAATCTTCAGAAGTTTAGATTCCTCATTTCAAAAATTGAATGTGCACTAATATTGACCTTAAGCAATAAGCTGAATGTCTATTACATGAGCATTAAGCTGTAAACACCACTGAAATCTAAGACACTATAAGTCGTAGTCTGCAGTCTGCCAGAACGATGAATTTGGCCAGGGCCCACTCGAAACACGTGAAAAAGGAACGAAATGTACGCCTCCACTGCTTGTTCTACTCGCACCCCTATCACACGGCCACCACTTGAAACAATTTGTAACGACTGCTACTACTTTTGCTCTTGCAGCACTTTGCCGTTGATATCCAGACTTCTCGCTCCAAATGAAGCCATTTCTAGGAAAGAAAGAAATATACTGTACCAACAATAAATACATTCCCCATATATTTAAATTTAAGTCCAGATGACTCTGTGCAACTCTTTACTATGCAACACATTCACATCTGTTGGAAAAGCGTCGTATGGGCCATGCCAGAATCGCTATAAATGTTCCAAATTAAAATTAAAAACGATTTAAACAGTACAAAATTCATCGAAAAGATAGCCACTGGCTAGTAGGCTCACTGAATACCAACTTTTGGAGGAAAATTTTGGGTATTCCGGAAGTATGTGAACCGAGATGGCGGACACTGAAACGCAGTATGAGTACCAGGTTAGGGTTAGGCTATAATTTCAGGTTTAAATACTACGGGAGTCACTCGGCTATTCTCCTAACTCGCACTAGAACTAAAATTGGGATAAAATTATGGCCTAACCCTAACCTGGACCACGTACTACGTTCCGGTGTCCGCCATCTTGATGCACATACTTCTGGAGCGCCAAATTTCGAACCTCAGGAAAAAACTGAAGTATTCCTTCCTGGTAACTTCTTTCATTTTAGAGTACAGAAAATTTGAAATAGATTCGTCTAATTCTTGCAGAGGAAAACAGTTTTGTCGTTAAAACCTCATCTATACAATTTTAAGTAATAAATACATTATTCACAGTATTTTACACCATCATGAAACAAGAAAAGTGATCTTATAGCTATCATGGGCAAACTACGAACCGCGGGCCAATTTCGGCCAGTTTGGTAATTCAATCTGGCCCGCCTGGTGCTGCCACAACCAAACTAAAACAGGATTTTGATGTTTTAGCTAAACTAGCTCTAGGAATTTGTTCAGATTGCGATTAAATTTAGTTTTGGCACGAGGCTTATTGTTTTCCACATATGCTCTTGTAACACTGTGAATATTGTTTATAAAATGTAACTCTTTATGTTATACAAACAGGGCCCGCCAGTCCAGGTGGGCAAAATTTTGGCATCTGATTCAAAAACCTTGCCCAAAACTGATTTATAGTATTGTTAATATGATTCGTTATTACTATTAAAGAGACTATAAGATAGATTCATAAGATGCGCACTCACCATTTTTCAATTCTCCAATCTCAAAGGATCGTTTGATGATTTCATTACGGAGTGCACCAATTTCAGTCGTTTGTTTCTTGATCGTTTCACGGAGTTGATCTATTTCTGATTTCTGATCGCCGTTGGGTTTCTGAAGTTGACTTAATTTAGATGAATGTTGATTAATCATCTCACGAAGTTCACTGATTTCCGATTCATATATTCTGTTAGTCTCACGAAGTTCACTTATTTCCAATGACTGTTCTTTGATTTTTTTGCTACTTTCAGTAATTCCATTAAGCTGCGACTTTGATTTTTTGTCGGAACCCAGAATGTCTGTTAAAATATGAAATGTAAAATTACAAGTAAATCTAAGACATTGTGGCTCACAGTATGTTAAGTCTAACAAACAATACTCTTTGATCAATGGTGTATCTAGCGCAGGGTGATCCAAGGTTGTCGGCTTCGCGGGCCAAAAAATTATTTTTGCATTGTTCGCGGGCCAAAATAGTGCCAAGAATAGGTAAACAGTGCAATACAAAACAAACACTTTTATTGTGCAAACACATAGTTATCAGACATAGCCATTCAAGGCTAATAGAATCTGCCTGCATTTGGACCACCCTGATCTAGCTTATGGCAGCCCAAGTATTAAGTATCGTGGCGTAGCTGTGTGAAAATGGCGTCCATTGCATATTTTAAATATGCGCCTATTTGATCGTGGACCGATAATTTCTAACGAATGTTGCTGAATTAAGATACTTGTTTTGAAATACTTAAGATACGTTATTTTCTATGTGAAAATACGTAATTACTTGACATGCGTTAAATGTCCGAGACTTGGCGCTGAATTGGTTGATGAAATAGGTAAGGTATGGTAATTGTTTCATGGCGCCGACTACATTTTGAATAGTCCTCTATCTATACTGATTTCAAAAGCTTTGGCGTTGTAACCATTTGTTTGCCTACCGCTCTCTAGTATATTAGAATCGACAATCCTATATATCCAATCGCGTTCGGTCTTTATGACCAGGTCATCTGAGATGCTACAAATTGTCAAGGTATATGGCAATACTCTAAGCCAGAGGTGTGCAACCTGCGTCCCGCGGGCCAAATGCGGCGCACAAAGAAAAATTGTGCGGCCAACGGTAAAATGCCAATTTTCAAGAATGCACGGGCCCGCCAAACGAATTTTTCATTTAGTTTAATCTGGTAAGTGCAGTAATTCTAATCCTTTCGCGTTGCACGGCCTATACCTGAGTCCAATTTATTATCCATGCCTATGGCAGGGGTCGGCAACCTTTTGTCGCTCTCGGGCCAAAATTAAGGTTGCAAGTCATTGGCGGGCCGCACTTATTTTAGAAAGTGAAAAGCCGAACGGTGGTACTTTTTATAATAAAAATCAAGCATCTCTCTCAATACAATGCATCTCAATACATCTCTCGAATGAATATAGATTCATTTCCTCATTGCATCTCATAAATCCATTTTCAGCGCCATTGAACCCTTTGCACTTAGAATCAACTTTACTGCGTTTTGTTGCCATTTGCTTAATTATAATTAAATTATATGCTCATTAAACGAGTAATTGTGAAATAATTAATTGTTAGGTTATAATATAATTTAGTCTAAAGAATATATTAGTCAAAACGGATGTTTTGTTACTATATTTCAGTGAAGCGTCTCAGGCCTGATTATAGTACTCTGCGGGCCGGATCCGGCCCGCGGGCTGTAGGTTGCCGACCCCTGACCTATGGCGTTACAATGCCCTAACTTAGCTTGTGCGAGGCAAACAACAAATGTCGTAAGATCGATAACCAAAATTTTTGTGCCTGCAACTTCCTGTATGTGTCAAATAAAGTTGCACCCCGCAATTTCACTCAGTTATTTGTATCTTGCCCTTCTGTATTAAAAGTTGCATACCCCTGCTCTAAGCAGAATATTCGCAACATTTGAATGGTCAAATGCCTAAGAGCTGCAACCATTGCTCGCCAGATACTTCGAATAATAAAAAAATCACCTTTGATTTTATCTGCATTCTCATCAATTTGCTTTCAATTTCAGTCAAATCTGAATTTATACCTCGGATATCTGAATAGAACGTTATGTTATTACTTACTACCGATTTATCTCTGAAATATACATTAATATGTAACAATTTATTTCAAAATAAATTTTACATGATTCGATTTTGAAATCATCAGGTACAGTACTTGGAAATGCCAACTGCAAGTCATGACCACTAAACTAAGCCCAAAGTCTGAAAATGAAAATTTTACCACCCGATTTACTTTACCTTGTATGTTGCCAGTTATGGAGTGACAGTAGGTTTTCCATTATTTTGTGATTGTGCTGCTTTTAGAGTTTTGCAAGTTATCGGAATTCGTTTCTCGTTAAATGTTTTTCGATGCTGAAACCCAACTGATCCCATATCGGGGGTGTAGGATCGCATTGTACAATCTGGCAACCTGGCTTAGGAGAACATTGAAGCACTGTTTCATCTTGGCAGAAGGATGGAGAGATAGAGATGAAAAGATTGAAGATAAGATAAATTTTCATTGTAACCTTTGACCTTTTAATCTTTAACCTTTCAAATGAAGCTTTTTAACCTTTTAAATAAAGCAATCTAATTGTAAACTAGTCTGAAGATAATAATAAAAAGTTTGAATAAAATTATCATTTATGTATCGCAACAATACTATAATACTACAATAATATAAAAACACGCGGACAATCAGTTTTTAGGTTTATCGCAGCGATGCTACTGTGGAATAATAGCGATAAGCACATTAATGATAAGAGATTATTATCTTCAATTTTGAAATAAACGCATGCAGTCTGATTAGATATCAAGCTATGGGAAGAAAAATATTAGCTTCAAATATTTTTTACCTAATGCGCATTTATAATGGAATATGTTTTATCATGAACTTTATCATGTAATTTAACTGCAAGCTATTCTGAACATCTACAATAGACATGGGCAAAGTAAGTCCCGCGGGCCGAGTCCGCCCGTTGGGTAATTCAATCTGGACCGCCTGATGAAGCCACAACCAAACTGAAACTAAATGTTAATTTTTAGCTGAGAATAGCTCAAGGAATTTTGTTGATATTGCGAATATATTTGGATTAAGCACAAGGCATATCGTTTCCGCTTTTGCTTTGTAACACTGTGAATATTGATTATAAAATGTAACTTTTACGTCACACATAACATAGCCCGCCAGACTAGTTGGGTAAAATGTTTGGCCCCTGGTACGAAAACCTTGCCCGCCATTCCAATGATGTACAATCTGCAGATTTTAATCGTTACTCCTAAAAGTATGCGCACCAAGATGGTCGCACAACCTGAACTCTAACCTGGTACACAACCTGAGTTCAGGTTGTGTGCCATCTTGGTGCGCATACTTCAGGTGGTCCGTTTAATCCAGGGGTCACCAAATTACGGCCCGCGGGCCGGATCCGGCCCGCGACGTCATTTTATCCGGCCCTCGCGTCATTTTATCCGGTTCTCAATAACACACAAAAAATGGCTAAATTTTTTTCCAAGGAAGATTTTCACGAGATCGTCGTCTTTGTTTATATCGTAACATTGCCCAATCGGCAAGATGCAAAAAAGTGACGTAATAATAGGCCTTTCCGCATCGCTCAGACACTTTTGTCACCCTGACAGATTTTCAGTCATGGTTGTAAACAAAACTTCGTTTTTGCGACTTTGAATGCTACCAGTACGTAACGTTTTCTGCGATACACTTTGTACACTCGTGGCGCGTGCTTCGACGAAACTGTATGTTTTTTTTGTGCTAAAATAAACGTCGAATGTGCATTTTGTGCTAACAGTACTGTAATCCCTCGCGTACTGCTCCAATTTCAAAAAGCCACACTACTTTTGTACTGCTTTAATGCGGATATTCATGTAGGTATATGTTACAAAAAAATTGAAGTTCATCCGATTTAAATAAAAACTATTCCAGTGGAAAGATCTGAGTAAAAATAGAAAACAATACCAAGTTTATAATAAACGGTCAAGAAATAACGAAGATATCGGAATTTTAGTACCGCCTGACAGGCCAATTTTTTTCATAATGATTGTATTACTTTTTTGATAAGAACTGAACTAAATATGGAAAAATAACACATATCAATCACTAATCTTTCGATGTGCGTCACATCTATGGTAAATTGAGACTATTTCAGGATTTTTATTCTGACAGCGGTCATTGACACCGCCGAAAGATCGTCCGCAAATAAACGCTGCAGTTGTGCATGATAGTTTGACAGTGGTTCATTGTGGGTAATGATTAACGGTGTTCTGATTGTACGAACTTCATAAAAATTGTATTAAGTTAGGAAAGAAATACACACGTCCACATAAATTTTATTGGTGTCCATAGACAATATCATTAATTTGAACTACGTATAACTGGAGCGTAATTTTTAAAAGCGTCGAATGTTGGCAAATTTATGCGCAAAATGAAAAAAATCAAATACCAGATAATAGTTGTTTATTTTATCTAAATTATGTCAAAATTTCATAGAATTCCAAGCTACAGCAGTTAGTCGTTTTTATGAGCGGTATTTCAACACGGCGTAACGGTACCCAGCAGACGCGATGCCCACATTTTTTGCCGCGGATTTTGTAACATTTCTAATTCATGACAGCAACGTTTTGATAACAGCTAAACTCAGGATAGTTGTCTAGATATAGGAATCTTGTTATTTTTTTTCATAGGATGTTCTCGATCTATATTCTGCGATATTCCCAACATTTGTGAATTTATTGTATTGCATTGACAAAAATATTCATCCGGCCCGTTTCAACACAATTTGAGTCATACCCGGCCCGCGGTCAAAAAAGTTTGGTGACCCCTGGTTTAATCAAAACAATTATTTCGAATATCCTTTCGAGACTCTTGTGTCTCGTGAGTAAATTCGAATTAAAATTGGCGGGTGCATGGTCCTAAGCCAGTGTTCTTCAACCTTTTTAATCGTGGAATACCTTCCATTTTTTTTCAAGAACTTTGTATGCTTTACAAATACCAATGTTTATTTAAGGCTTAAATAAACATTAAATTTTATGCACATATTGTACTGCAATATCATCATGCAATCTAATAAGTTAGTATCCGCAAGTTATAAATTTGACTGACGGCCTTAGAGTCAACGGGTATAATGTTCAACGTAAATCAAACGAAGTGCATGGCAGCCAAAATTATCAACCCCAACACGTGCCTGCATAATCTATATAATTTGTGATGTAACAATGTGCTCAAGTCGGCGGTTCTTTGCGTAAATGACATTTTATATTTCCTGGGCGCCGCGTTTGCATTGTTGTCTCCATTTAAATATTTTATAATTTATTATACTAGAGCAGGGGTCACCAAATTACGGCCCGCGGGCCGGATCCGGCCCGCGACGTCATTTTATCCGGCCCTCGGCGTCATTTTATCCGGTCCTCAATAACACACAAAAATGGCTAAATTTTTTTCCAAGGAAGATTTTCACGAGCATCGTCGTCTTTGTTTATATCGTAACATTGCCCAATCGGCAAGATGCAAAAAAGTGACGTAATAATAGGCCTTTCCGCATCCGCTCAGACACTTTTGTCACCCTGACAGATTTTCAGTCATGGTTGTAAACAAAACTTCGTTTTTGCGACTTTGAATGCTACCAGTACGTAACGTTTTCTGCGATACACTTGTACACTCGTGGCGCGTGCTTTCGACGAAACTGTATGTTTTTTTTGTGCTAAAATAAACGTCGAATGTGCATTTTGTGCTAACAGTACTGTAATCCCTCGCGTACTGCTCCAATTTCAAAAGCCACACTAACTTTTGTACTGCTTTAATGCGGATATTCATGTAGGTATATGTTACAAAAAAATTGAAGTTCATCCGATTTAAATAAAACTATTCCAGTGGAAAGATCTGAGTAAAAATAGAAAACAATACCAAGTTTATAATAAACGGTCAAGAAATAACGAAGATATCGGAATTTTAGTACCGCCTGACAGGCCAATTTTTTTCATAATGATTGTATTACTTTTTTGATAAGAACTGAACTAAATATGGAAAAATAACACATATCAATCACTAATCTTCGATGTGCGTCACATCTATGGTAAATTGAGACTATTTCAGGATTTTATTCTGACAACGGTCATTGACACCGCCGAAAGATCGTCGCAAATAAACGCTGCAGTTGTGCATGATAGTTTGACAGTGGTTCATTGTGGGTAATGATTAACGGTGTTCTGATTGTACGAACTTCATAAAAATTGTATTAAGTTAGGAAAGAAATACACACGTCCACATAAATTTTATTGGTGTCCATAGACAATATCATTAATTTGAACTACGTATAACTGGAGCGTAATTTTTAAAAGCGTCGAATGTTGGCAAATTTATGCGCAAATGAAAAAAATCAAATACCAGATAATAGTTGTTTATTTTATCTAAATTATGTCAAAATTTCATAGAATTCCAAGCTACAGCAGTTAGTCGTTTTTATGAGCGGTATTTCAACACGGCGTAACGGTACCCAGCAGACGCGATGCCCACATTTTTTGCCGCGGATTTTGTAACATTTCTAATTCATGACAGCAACGTTTTGATAACAGCTAAACTCAGGATAGTTGTCTAGATATAGGAATCTTGTTATTTTTTTTCATAGGATGTTCTCGATCTATATTCTGCGATATTCCCAACATTTGTGAATTTATTGTATTGCATTGACAAAAATATTCATCCGGCCCGTTTCAACACAATTTGAGTCATACCCGGCCCGCGGTCAAAAAAGTTTGGTGACCCCTGTACTAGAGTTTAGAATTCCTGACTTAGGCCTGAAAAAAACTTAAAATAAAAAAATAATTGTGAAAAAACATAAAAAAAAATGAAAAAAAAATAAAACTCAAAAAAAAAATGAAAAATAAAAACGAAAATAAATAAAAACAGAGTGAAAAAAAAATGAAAAAAAAATGAAAAAAAAAAAACTGAATAAAAAGAAACTAAAAAGGTTGACAACGATGGGCCGCCTCGTGGCCATGTAAATCCTATCCAAAGTGCAAAGTTAATCAAATGTGAGTCCCTTTCTTTTTAATTATTCCTAACTATGAACTTATTTACTTTCTTGCGTTCAAACTGTGTTGACATTAGCGGACTTAATCTAACTAATGTTTTCCTGATTTTCTAAGTAGTGTTGATATACTCGCTCTAATATAAGCATACAACTACTGCGACATTAGTGTTTTCTATAGCAATTATACCATCAGTGATCTATACGATTCTATAGGGTGCCCATGGAGTCTTAAAAGGGAATTTATAGATACCATGTAAAGTTTGGACCTCACAGATGTGTTAAATAAAATAAAAAATACTTAAACCAGAGTTTCCAAAACTTTTTGAGCCGCAGACCCTTGTTAGTGAATATTATTTTTTACGGACCGGCTTCCTACGCCGTACCAAGGATAACGTTTCATCTGGATTTAAAACACAACAACACAAATGACATTAATGTGACTAGGATTGTGTTTTTTATCAACTCTAAAAAACATCGTGTTTTGAAACAAGGGCTTGTTTTAAATCCCCTTTTTTCTGTATTTTTTGTATTTTTTATTGAAATACCTCCTGCATCGCCGCTAAACTACGCCAAAACGTTGCGTTTGAACAGCTGCATACGCTGTCGGAATTATAATTTCAAAAATGTAAGTAAAAATTCTTGTATTAACTTTTATTTCTATTGCGTACATTTATCGCCACGGTGGTATCTACACCCAAGTCATATGATTTTAACCGGAATGTTTATGCGAGATACAAGAGAGACGTTTTGAGCAGAAAAATCATGAAACTTAGCTCACGAGCCTACTACAAAATTAATTGGGTCAAAAACAGCCTTCGGCAAAGCGAGTGCGTTACGATAATGAAGAATAAACTTACATGAGCGGCAATTTACTGATTTAAAACGATGAGGCACGCAAGCCCAGCCTATGCTAATTGTAAGAGTCCTCTGATGCAAAGGCGCTACAACTAATCTGTTATGACGCCATAATAAGGATTTCGAGTTTATGTATTGACATTTTTCTCATAAAATAACGGCATTATTACGATTAATACTGTTCGGTTAATTTATGCTCTGCATACTCTGCTTTAAGGTTAAAGTGATAGAGTTTTTCAAAGTTATACAAACTGAAATCACATTTCAATTTTCGCAAGGTGGCAGGGTCGCTCACGTAATGGCTTATCGGTTACGTCTTACCGCGGCAACCACGTTTGAGGTCGCTTTGAACTACTGCTTGAGACGGTGTGTGTGAGCCTTTATCGATATTTGTGGCGTTTCGGTAGATTTATTACAGATAAGAAGCGCTTGGCGAGTTTTTACGTCCAATTTCCTTCAACCTATTTAATACAAAAAAATCAACTAGTACAGCCATTTTGAACAATGCAGGCAAAATAAAACTTGATAAAACAATACTCTTTGAACAAATCCCTAAATGTGACGGATCAATTTGTGACAAGAAAACTCGTAGGCCCGAATCTACGGCAACGATTCTATACAGTTTTACAATGTTTTGACGAAATAATATTCGCGAAAGTCTGAATCCATACATATTAACGTGAAATATTGGTAGGCTAGGGGCAATTCGATAAAATCATGATCTATTTGTACCTCGATATATGGACTGTCGGTACTAATTGAACATGTGTAATTAGTAGAACTAAGTTAATTGTGTATACGTGGATAGTCTCACACAATTACCTGGGTTTCACGCCTCCTTCCTGTAGCAACGGGGCCCAAATAATCTTGGCAAAGTGGCACAAGTTCCCGACTGGTGATAACTCAATAACGCATGCAGTCAATTATTACCGACGATGTGGCTCTGTGACAGAGGTCTACCTCGCAGACGTTAAAAGCGAGGATCGTTTTTATCTTGTTTACGAATGTCTATGGACCAGTGGATATACGTTATAACATATATAATATATATATATATATCAGACTCTTAATACCGCTGCCGACCCTAGTTTGGGAAACCCCGACTTAACCAACAACTGATTGAAAAACAACAAACCTGGTTAAGATATATTGATAACTGACTTCTTACCAAAATTGAAATTGTAAAGGGATTTCATGGACACCCTGCTATTTTCTTTTAAATGAGGAGTTCAAGTTATTTGATCCTGAGCGAAGTTAGATAAACAAAGGTTATTCTTAATAAATTTTTAACAGTATCTACCTTTACGTCAGTTGTCTCAATCTTGCTTTAAGAAAATTCGAATTTGAAGCTTCGTTTTTTAAATGCAAATTCCTGTATTTCTAATTATTTGCAACTACGAAATGCTTTACTATTCTTCCGTGTAAACATGTTTACTTCGACGTACTAACATCTAATTAATATTTTCATATCCAAATGTCATACAGACGAATGTCATTTCAAAACAAATGAATATTATACCCTCGAGGCAGTGTTGATCTATGTTGATTAATATAAACTTGGAATTATTTGATACACTCTCGTAAACCGAACTGTTGTGGTTTTCATGACGAATCCTGTGGCACGATGGAATAGTTGTAAGCTCGTTTGCCATATTAATGTTGGCGAGACAGACTTAAAATTTGGATATGGAGATGACTAATATCGTTTGCCTACTTCACATCAAGTTGTGTGAAGGGAATGAAACCTATGAGCATGGGGTATATTCACTTGACTAACACAGACAGTCCCCGAACTCGTAATGGAACTAAAATGAGGAAAATCGGAATAAAATTATGGCCTAACCCTAACCTGGTACACATACTACGGGAGTATCCAATATCGCAGAAGTTACATCACCCTACAGTCAAAATTTAAACTCTTATTGCAGGCCTTGAGTATAATATTATATCGTAAAACAAAAAAGATGAATAATAACTATAGGAGAGTTTTAGAAAAAAAATAGTTTAAAGTTACAGAAATATTACAGTAACTGAAATTTAGAAATATTTGCTCTTTTATCTATGACTCGTGAACTTCCACTTTGTTTTACTGCCAATATTGACTTCAGGGTGCTCCCGAAGTATCTTGGTACACATACTTATGAAGCGCCGACTTGAATTATATCAAGTCTCTTGAAAATCGCTTGAAAATCTAAAAATCGTCTCTTGAAAATCTGTGGGCGAGATTACCTAGTGGTTAAGCTTTAGACTTAACTGTGTTGGCATCGGAGGCTACACAACCTGGGCTCAACATCTTATGCTCGCCATCTCACAGTGAGAGAAATGAATTGGGTATAAAAAATTCTTTCAAAAATATCAGCTTCCTACATATCGATATATATCAGTGAATGCTTGTTCAGGGTCTTGTTCAGGGAGAAAGGCCCATCACTGTCATGGGCACAAAATTATGCTCTATACGTATGTGGTATGTTGCAAACCTTCTATAAGTACTCTTGCTTTGCTTTTGCTGTTATGGGGTCGTGACTATGCTTTAAGCAAATTTGGAAGATTTTAAAGTGCAGAAGTGGTATCGTAGGACCGATTATTTTGACCGTAAATCAATGGTCTGGTTATTGAGGGTGCTACTATGGCGCGAGGTTTTTTCTTAAGTTAATACAACAGCTTGGGTCGAGGTCTGTCGCCCTAATAGATATCACGGATGTTTTGTACAAAGCTTTCAAAAATGCAAAAAATTTGATTTAGGGAAAACACTCCCGCCACGTTTAAATAACAAATTAGTAATTATGCAGTTAGGGTTAGAAAAATGAATATCCAACGCAATCTGCATTCCTAACCTAAACCATCACTGGATAAATATTAAATTTATTGTTTAAACGTGGCGGTGGTTTTTTTTGGCGGGGGTTTCATACAAAATATCCGATATCATTTATTTTCAACCCTAACGGTAGATGACACATGGTCATAGCCCTCGTGTTATAGTAGCTCCAAGAAATTCTAGTGAAATTGAAGTTTGATTTACATAAGCTTAAAGTAAGTAAAAAAATTCCCAATAATCAGCATATGTAGCATCAGCCAGGAGCGTAGCCAGAAATTTTCAAGGGGGGATTCTGAAACTTCTGATTGCCAATTTATAACACCTAGCGGAAAACCTGAGTTTTCAAGAGTCTTGAAGGTCTAAAAATCGTTTAATGCTACGAAAAATTGCTATGTATGACAAATAAACACATTCCAGAAGGGTGGTCCCGACCTTCAATCCCATTGGCTACGCCCCTGGTATCAGCATAATATAATAAGGACAAAGAAAATTTGAACGTTGAACAAAATTTGCGAATAATGGCGTCAGTGACAAGTTTATCCCTCAAATCAGGAATAGTAGACCATATCGTTCGTTGAAGAATGTTAGTTAATGAGAAAGCATACAGGGTAACCTCAAAAACAGAATTACTTTTACGGAAATAAAGAAAATTAATCCAAGACTTAAAATTCTGTTTGTGTGGGGTTGTATACAAACGTTGGCGCTCTCGTAGTATGTGTACCAAAATGGCGCACAACCTAATTCCTAACCTGGTACAAATACTATTTTCAGGTTGTGCGCCATTTTGGTGCACATATTACCGGAGCACCCAAATGTTTCATCGTTCTAGGACGCTTTGCACAAAAGTTATGCTCGCTGTTGAATACAGGGTGTCCATAAAGTCCCTTCACAATTTCGATTTTGTTAAACAGGTTTGTTGTTTTTTAATCAGTAATTGTTTACGTAATATTCCTTCATCTAATACATCTGCAAGAGCCAAGACAATATATAGTATCGATAAATTATCTTGGCTGTTTCAAAAATTGTAGGACTCTATGGACACCCTATGTTCCGAATGACGAATGAATGTTTTCTGTTTTTATTAGGCCATCCTGTATTCATGTCAAAATCATTTTGCGCAGATGTCAACAATTCAGACTTCCTCACCATCGAGCCGATTTTGGCAGTTCTGATTGAAGTCTCTCGTGAGACAGTATTTACTGGTCACTGCTATGTAACCGTAGTCCTGTATAGCAACCCTCTGCGTTTTAGTGGGTGGTCGTGTCTTTAGTCTGATGTGACATTTTCAACTTCTAGTTAGTTGACGAGATTCAGATTGACATGATTGAAACAAGACATGTTATATTCTGTTTTATCAAAGTTATTTCGGTAAAATTCGTCAACCGGCATTGTTCTCACGTGACTTTGTTGTTTTCCTACCACAAGGTGCCGCACACGAGCCTTTTACACTGATAAATAACTTGATCGTGGAGGAACGTAAACTGGGCAAAAATTTCCACATTAAAACAGGACAAATGGCTGAATATACAAACATACATATTCCGGACGTTAAAAGAAGCACAGACGACGGTGGGTCCACGACAGCTACGTCAATAATAATAGAGAAAGCTGCCGGGGACGTGCAAGCAACGAGAACTCCAGTGAGAATGATCGAAAATTTTAGACGCCAGTTAAATTTATGCTTTACGCTCGGCTTTCTTTGATTTTCTGTGTTTGTGCCGGTCTTTGTTGTCTGAACACTTGCTTGTGATGACGCACCTTTTACGTCATCAATGATGTCACAAATGCCTTCTTCCATGTTGACCACAACAGCTTGTGCCGAACTCGTTTCATGACTTGCAAAAGATTTGTTGTGACGTCGAATACCGTTGACCACAAAAATAATCAGTCCCAAAACCTGTAATAAATTATATATGCAGTGAACCATGATATGCCAGAATAGAGCTCATCTCATTAAAACAGCATGGATGCTGTCAATTATGCTTCGTTGGTTTAGACAAGTCAGAATTAAGATAAGATACAGCTGTCATAAAGACGAATACTGTTCATAACAAAAATAATCATCCCCGAACCTGTGGCAAATTATATATGCAGTGAACCATGATAGGCCAGAATATAGCTTATCTTATTAAAACAGTTCGGATGCCATTAACTTGTTGGTTTAAATAAGTCGGAATAAGATGAGATACAGCTGATGTATGGACCCCACGAAAGACCAGAATGTAGCTTATATCAATAAAACAGTACTGATGCTGCCAATTACGCTTCGTTGGTTTGAAAAAGTGCGGATAAGATGAAATACAGCCTTCACAAAGTCGTATAAATACACCGTATAATAAAATTCATTGACTAGCGCTTGTACATTAAAACGCGTTTTTCATGACATGCGTCATCTGTAACCGACATATTCGCAGGAAATTTAAAGTATATACCTTTGTTTATTACTGTATATACAGCTTTCCTTAAAACTCATCAGATGCATGGGTTGATAATTATGGATCGAACTAACCCACTCTTAGCGAGATTTCTAATCTGTGGCAGAGTCATTACATTTTATGTGATCTTGCAGACTACAACCTTGAAATCATTACAAGTTACATATTTTGACCACAAACAACATGTACGCCTACTCGTAAGCAAAGAAATATGCTCGCTTAGTCAAATCAAAATAAGTCTGTATTTGACTATGTTGTTGTACGAACCAAAGCGAAGAACCTTTTAGACAACTATTTAAAAAATCTTCTAGTCCTGAGTACAAATTTAACAAATCTATCCAACTGGTTCTTACAAAGAGAATACAGTATAATCGAAAAATATGTCATTTCATATACAACGAGTTTTAAATTAGAAAAAATAGATTGCAAAGTCAAATGTTATAATTTTCAATTGTAAGGAGAAATACTTTATCTGCACTTCGTATACGGGAAAGGCCACAAGTAGTGGGCTGTGATTTAAATAATTTAATAACTGTTACCCCATTTTGGTTCCAAACCGTACATCTCGCGATCATTTCCCTACGCGGAGTACCTTGAAATGTTCAATTCTCAAGTAAACCTACGACCATTAAGGTTTACAGAATTAAGATGTGAATAATACCTAACAGCTCGCACGCTTTTACCCTTCTACGATAGAGAGCGAGAAATATCGAGATTGCGAGAGATAGTTCATGAAATGATTGCTCTGAATTTAATAAAGATAACCAAAAAATAGAGCCCTGGTCATCCGAAACTAATTCTAAATCCAGAAAATTATTTCGAATATTGATTTAGCAGACGGTAAGATTATCGGTACTCCCGTAGTATGTGTACCAAGTTAGGGTTAGACCATAATTTTATTCCGATTTTCCTTATTTCGGTTCTTTTACGAGTTTGGGGACTGTCTGTGTTAGCCAAGGGAGGTTTCAGTCTCCTTACACAACTTGATGGAAGTAGACGAAAAAAATTAGATACCTCCATATTGGTACACATAATTCTGGAGTGCCAGATTATCATTGACCCAAAAAATATACCCAGGTCGTTGGAACATTTTCTAGAGCGAACATAACTTTTATGCAAAACGTACTTTCTGATTTCTGAAACTTCTGGGCACAATCATACACAGACGGAAGTGTTTAATAAATTTTCTTCATTTGTGTAGTGATAAATAGTAATAAATGTTTTTAATTTTTTTTGGTGGGAAGGGAAATTCACCCTACATTTATTTATGCATCCGAAACAAAATTACCTCAATCATCCAAACAGCGACGACGACCATAAGAAATTCAGTCTTTAAAGGAGCCCACATTTTTGAGCAATGCTGACCAACAGGACAGTGTTCCCCGATGAAATTATTGCTGGGACATCGGCAATCTTTTGCACAATTCCATACGTAAGATAAGATGGTTATCAAGAAGGGTAACACCCACGATGCGGCAATGAGAAGCTGAGCGATGCGAACCTTTAAATCCCTGCCAAAAATTAAAAATAGAAAATTTTGCAAAAAATGATTTATTTACTTCTCCACTTCTTCCCTCAGTGTGTAATAAATTAGGTAGAAATTGCAAAGACTTTGGTCTTTTTGGCCCGGAAATGGTGGCTCATTATGTATCAGTTGTGGCTGTTGGTACAGATTTTGGGTGATGAAACAGCTCATAAAAATCTTGAATAACTATATGAAAAAAATGGAGCAAGCACAATTCCATACGTAATATATGATGGTTATCAAAAAAGGTAACACCCAAGATGAGGGGTTAAGGGCCCAGGGGTCGACAACCTACGGCCCGCAGGCCGGATCCGGCCAGCGGAGCAATATAATCCGGTCCGCGCCGCTTCGCTGAAAGAAAACAGATGTTTTGACGATTATATTTTTTACGTAACAGAATTTATTGTGAGACACGTGTAGACTAAATTATATTATAACCTAACAAGTATATAATTCACGATTACTCGTTTAATTAATGAGCCTATAATTTAATTATAATTAGACAAATGGCAACAAAACGCAGAAACGTTGATGCTAAGTGTAAATAGTTTAATAGAGCAGAAAATATTCAAATGGTCAGTCTTCGCGCTCTGCTTAAAATTTAACTTCTGACCTGTGTGAAAAAATGTGATTCATCGGCCATCCGTTCGGTTTTTAACTTTCTAAAAATATGTGCGGCCCGCCAATGACTTGCAACCTTTATTTTGGCCCGCGAGTGCCAAAAGGTTGCCGACCCCTAGTTAAGCAGTTCATACTTCTTAATCTCTACCAAAAAATTAAAGTAAATCTTTAAAAGTATTGTTGGGGGGGAATAGATCACATGATAAATGGCCTGATGGTAATAGTGCTGGACTTAACTATGTTACCATCTCGGGTATAGGTCTCGTATTCAACCACCAATATGGTTGGTTGCAAATAGTGTATTGTTCGTTTTCACTCATTCATTCTCATACTCACGTAATCTAATAAGAATTGAGAACACTAAAAAAGGAAAATTCTTTCAAAAACAGCTTCTTGGGTATGGGTCGCGCATAAAAAAATTTGAAAACCCATCCATATACAAATGTCGTTTCAAAAATTTAAACAACTAGTCCCATAGCCGACATAGACTGGTAACCGGACAAGAGGCGTGGTTCCACATATGATTGAGCCGTCTTATTGGCTTTCCCTCCCCCGGGATAAATATATAAATCCTATCCCATCCACTGCCGAGAGTTGTACTCACATGAGGATAAACAAATTAGCAAATGTAAAAATAAAAACAATATTTACATTGCTTTTTTAGAATTGACGTTTTTCGTCCCACGTTCCGTTCCACTTCTCCCTACGTAACACACGCTATCAAGTGTGACGTAGATTAGTGACGTCACATTTGCACAGATACCCAGAACCATAGACGCTGTCATGGCCTCAGAGAAAATCCAAATTACCTATCGAAGAGAAATATAGTTGAAACGAGCACACTATATTGAAGGGTTGTGTGTATAATATGTTTTTTCATGAAAAAAATTACGCTTACTCACTCTGAAACAAAGAGGATTTGGTACTCCCGTTGTATGTGTACCTGGTTAGAGTTGGGCCATAATTTTATTCCGATTTTCCTCATTTTAGTTCAATAACGAGTTTGGGTACTGTCTGTGTTAGCCAAGTGAATATACCCCCTGCCCATAGGCTTTCCCCCCATCACACAACTTGATGTAAAGTAGGCGAAAAAAATTAGTTACTTCCATATTGGTACATACAGTTCTGGAGGGCCGATGATTGATATTATAGCAAAGTTGCAAGCGACCACTAAAAGACAGCTGAGACTATAAAGAACCAATGGGTAGAATTACGCATTTTGAACCTCGCAAAACTGCTTGTCACGATAAATATTGGATTCCGCTACGAACAGGGCATTGTTGTATCTTGAATACTGCCTATGTTAGATAATTTTTTGACTGATGGTATTACCGACGAAATGATGTTATTAAGCCATATATATCTCTTTTTTTTTTCAAGAAGTTAGACTATGAATTAACGAAAACTCACAAATATACTTGATATTTCGTGGAAAGAGATTATGTTATTCAAATCATTGTTATGTTTTACTTTCATTAAAATCCTTCATCCTCATTATCATTGTAAAACCCTTTATTGCGGTCAAAGTTATGCGCGTATAATCTGAATTTTTCATAACCATTAGTTTGACAAATACCTTTTCAATGGACATGATTCCTTCCTGCGGAGACCTCGATACTTGAGGATAATTGTCCACTGTCAACCAGATGCTCATCAGTAGATACACAGTATTGCTTAGTAAAGTGCTCATAACGCAAGAAAACGTATAATTCTGTCTTTGAAGTTTTTTTCTGTCTCTTGCTGCTGCGGCGAAGAGTGTTAGATTCAAAAATGTAACAATGATTTTAAACGGAATAAAAGCAATTGTAAATAAGTTATTGTTTTGTTCGCAAGTATCGTTCCCAGTATTTGAAAAAGTATTATTTCCAAAACTTCTCGTTGTGACGTCATCATCTGTGACGTAAGATTGTGTGACGTCAAATAAATCCGGGGGGTTTGGTATATCCATTGTGGATGGTATATCCGATTTCACTGTCGTTCGCAAGGTTATATCTGCGACTTTCCAGTACTAAGAGATTTAATATTCAATTATTTGACAGCATAAACAGCATAGGATCCATATTGTATAAATTCTGCAATAAAAATATTTTTGGATTCTTGGTAAGTACTTGATTCTTCTGATAGACTTTCGGATCAATTTTTGAAGGAAGTAATGTTAGTATGACTTTCAAAAACTTGACAAATAATTTATAAGTCGTCTCTATCATTAACCCCAGCAGCCTCTAGTCATGTTTTAGTCCATTTTGTCAGTGGAAATACCTAACGAGTTTGAAGCTCGGAATGCATGAATATAAATGACGGGGAAGCCGTAACCAACGAGCGATTGATTACACCTTACCCCAGTGGTTCTTAAACATTTTAAGCCGTGCCCCTTTTTTAGAATTTGTCACGTCTCGCGCCTGACCTAAAAATTACTGGCTACCAATAAGCTACAAATAACAGATAGTAAGGTGAAAGTATTTGAAAACACCTGGATGGAACGTGAATGTTAAAATAAATGAAAAGCTTTGAAATCAAATAAGGCGGGCAATATTAAATATAACAAATATTTTTATTTTTAATTAGCTCCACACCGCTAAAAATGTATACCCCCCCCCCTCATGTGAGGCGTGCCCCACCGTTTGAAAACCACTGTCCTACCCTATACGTCAGCGAGGAGTTAAGCAATTCTCTCGACCGTAGCTATCTGCACGAGATTTGGGTCAGAGAAACCAAGCTTTTGATAAGCTTACCACGATGACGCTTCGGCGAGCCTAAATAGTTTATAACTAATGAGGGAGTTCAAAATTGTAAGAACGGGTCATATTTTGTATCGGACTAGCAAAAATGCACTGCATGAATGTAGCCATCGGACGTAGGCGTAGCCATGCCCGTCTCTCCCCTATTTTCAACATTTTTCTAATTTAAGCGGCATTTGCAGTGAGGCAAAAATTCCTTTTCTAACACCATACGATCTTGGACAACTCATTTTAAAACATACCAAACTTATTGTTCTATAACTCACACGTCATTTTTACTGATGTACGTCCTCACGTAAGTTACATTATAGTATGACACGCTTTAAATAAAAATCTAATAAATAACGCCCAATATATCACCAGTGGTCAGCTCAAAAACAGATTCGCTGAGGATCACGGCATTCCAAAAACGAATCTGACAATCTAAATTTCTAACCGTCACTGTGTATACCACCTATATTATATATATATATATATATATATATATATATATATATATATATATATATATATATATATACCTGTATTAAATCAATTCGGAACATGTTCCACCATCCCAAAAATTCGCGGAAACGACGCAACGCTTCTTTTTAAAAACTTTGGTTCTGTTGTCTAACACCATGTTACAAGCATGGTCCATTCATACAACGATAGTCCACATACCTTGCCATCTTTAGGCCGACGTAAATTTTTTTTAAACTTTTTTCTATTTATTCGGTATTACACAGTGGAAGTGACGTAATTTCACGCTTCATTAATTTCACATTTAAAGTGATCTAGGAAATAAATCATCCTATTGTATATTGCCTATCTTAACCTATGACACACTTTGGTGTAATTCGACGTAGGGTACTGACGCTAAAGGGAAGTAACGCTGACGCAAATTTGACGTTGAATAGACGTAAATTCGCCATAATGGAATCTACTTTACAGTTTGATGCGCTGTTCTGTAATTTAATTTAATACTCTCTAAAGAGAAACTGTCCCAGTGACCCGAATGACTAATTATCCAGTTGTCTAAATTTTGACGACTTCTAGTTGAAAGTTTACTCCGATTATGGGTTATCGCACGGGTTCTCAATCATTTGGTGTTGCGGAACCCGTGAAAAAATTGACAGGTATAAAAGCAGAAAATTTGAAGGTCAAATGAGATCACAAATAAAATGCGTATAGGTATAGGTTAGATTTGAACGATATCACACAAGTTAAACTTCAAAACGCTACACGAGCTTGGTTAAGACACTGCTCTGCAATGCACGGACGACATTTTGAGAATCCATGAGTGTAATATAACATATGCCTTTCAAAATCTCATTCTTTGTAAACATAAATAGCTGTTTGACAAATTTCCCGTTTTTCTAGCGACCACCCTGTATTATATGTGAGCTAGATATAGACGTTCGTAAGAATGTGAGATCGCGTACTAATTTGATGATACCGTTTTAATTAGAGAAATTAGGATAGGATAGGATTTACATATTTATCCCGGGGGAGAGGGAAGCCGATAAGACGGCTTATCCATATGGCGAACCACGGCCTCTCGTCCGGTTACCATTCCAAGTCGGGTATGGGATTAGTTATATTGTTTGTATTCGGAAGCATGGACTTGGTGGTGGAGGAAGCCGTAACCGACCAGCGATTACGTGAACCACCCAACGACGGCGAGGAGTCCAGGAATTGTTATTAATCGGCTTTTGTTGCGTTATTTTAACGACTCTATTAATGTTAGAATTTGTTACATAAGTCATTTTTGATCAACGTAATGAAAGAAATATCTTGACGGAATAGTACATAACAATATAGGTAAAATACGAGCATAATTGAAATCGAATGTAATACCTAAAACAATTTTGTACGGCAAATGAAGGGGCGAAAAATTATGCTGTTATGACACAATCAGTGTCGAGTGCTTTTAACCTTTTTTTCTTTTGTGGCCAACTGCGTTAAACAGAAATTCTCATGCAAGGGAAAAAGGGCAAAAAACAAAAAGTCTTTACGCAAAGACAGATACTTCCGCTTTAATAATTAAAATGTAGTTACCACTCAGTAGCGAAAACAGCATCATCATTCATTGCAAAACTAAATTATCAATCAATAACTCTGGAGCAATTTTTAATAGGTTTGTGGCCTACCTGAAAATGTTTTTCTGCGACAAAACGATGCTAAAATACTCGCACCCCATTGGTTAACAAACTTATTGGCAAATTCGCGTGAATAATTCAAGTCTCGTATGAACCTGTATACGCCAGTGAAAACATATGAACCTTTTAGTAGCAGTGTAATCGAGTGGACGCAGAGTTGAATAATTCCCTAGCAGACGAGCAGGGGTTCGAATGGAAATAAATTTGTCACGGTTTTGGACAACATAACCAACTTCTATGTGTGGTTTTACTAACACTATTTGTTCTAAACTTAGAATGCAAATAAATAGATCTCCGCAAAAATATCGATTTTTTTCTTAAATTGCCAAGGGACGTAGAATTCATTAGTATTTGCCGAACCTTTTGGGTAAAATGATAAATTTATGTTTATGCTTACTTAGTATTAGCGAATAAAGAAATGGTACCAACGTCATCTCCCTAAACGACCGGAAAATTTAATTTAGTGTGAAAATGTTGTTGCGCTATTGATGAGAATCTCTAAAGTCAGTAACACAGAAGCAAGACTCTTGAATTAAATGTAAAGCAGTATGATCTCCCTCTCTGATTTTAGGGGAGTGTTTCCAAATTGAGGGGATGGTAGATATCTTGCTATTAGCGATATAACTATTTGTAAATCAAAAATATGATGCGTGTTTGACTGACTATCTACACTGGTATACATGACACTTTCTGAATATTCAAATAAATTGAAAATTTTCCGGGGAGAGGGTGTTTTCACCTCCTATAGGTGGTGTATAAGGAAATCACTGATATCTAAAGTCAACGCCCACCTTATATCGTTGAACTAACTATCGTTTGTGCGAGACTAACTACATATTCGTTCTCTATATTTTGTGAATAACATCCTATAAACCTATAGCTATCTTCGCTTTATTGAGTTTTCTTTTGCCATTGAATGATTTGAGTTTCCGACAAAATACAGCGCAGAACTATAAAAAATGAATTTTAGGTTTTGCTCAGTTTAAATATTTGAATGCGCTAATAACCCAATTTTTTGAACAAAATTAGTAATTTCTTGTTTAAAAAAATGCGTATAATACACTGAAAAGTGTAAAGACATGTAGCTTGCTCCTTGTATAAATATTGCAATAAAAACTTTCAGACAACTCTCTAAACATAGTGTCGAGTTTAGAAATAGGTTTAGTATATCACTCTAATAGCGACATGGGAGAAGTTGCAAATGAAAGTACAGAATAAATTTTTATTTCACTACGCCAAGCCCTAGTAAAACAAGAATTATCCAACGCTACTTTTTACGACCTAATATAACCTAACCATCAAATGATTCTTATGTAAACTGCTAAGTCTGTTTCGCATAGTGTCTATTGTTCATTTATACACTACAAGCGTAACGTAACTTTGAAACGTAGTATAACCAGCCAGGTCAATAAATATACATAAACCCTCTCTATCTGTAATCAAGCCTTTTCTATTTTCGATGCTCAAAAATTTCCGGTTCGTTTAGCCCGGCCTTGTTCTATATTTATCATCAAATAAAATAGGATTTCCATATAGATTCCAAATTCAATTTTTTTTTCACTTATACGAAGCCAGCTAACATTAGGTTTAAAATCGATATTTGACCGGATTTCATATACCAGGGGGACTTGTAAGCCGGCGTGAGTTCTGTCAGGCGCTAAAGTGAATTTATCAATGTCCTTACTGTTTTTGACCTAATATGGAATCCTATAATTTCTTGAGAGGATTTTAGAAGCTCTGTCCCGCCTGGTGTGGGTATATTAAAAACTACTGAGGTATGGATTTATTGAAATAAGTATCCGCCATTTCATATTTAACCTATTAATATGTGTTGTAATCCGATCCGATTCTAGTTAGAAGCTGAAGTGAGCTTATCAATATCCTTACTGTCTTTGACTGCAAATGAAATTCTACTATTTTTTAAGAAGGTTCCAGGACCTCTGTCCCGTTTGGTGGAGGAATATTGCAAACCACTAAGGTATGGATTTGTTGAAAAAAGTATCCACCATTTCATATTTTATTACATTATCATAAAATTGCAAAATAAAAGCGAACCGATCGTGGTTGATATATATGATAACCGCTATCTGCCCCTCAACTCGCACTAGTGGTGGTTTATCATATCACATACTGTAAACATTCCAATAGAAGTCGCGACACATTCGATTTTAGGA